ACACTAGGACTTTATTTCAAAACAATCTTCCCCCAAGGTTGAATTTATAATTGGAGCATCCACACTACCAAGCCTTTTATTTTGAAATAATGGGCCGTAGAACTCAAAATCTGTACCCCTGCTTTTTCATCAAGAGAAACACTAATTCTGAAATAGGTATTTCAAAATAACAATTGTGTGGATTCTCTGGTGTTGCTATTTTAAAATAATTACTCCCCAGGGTAATTTGAACTAATTATTCCACAGTGATTTCTGGAGCTTTAAGTCTGAGGTACCATGCCCATATTAACAAGCCAGCCTTGGACTAAATTTCGAGGCTTCCCCATAGTGTGGACACACTAGTTCGAATTTGTTAAACTGGGAGTTATTAAGCCAAATTTACTAATTTTGAAATAGTTTCTTGGTGTCAACATGGCCTTGCATAATATCATTGATTTTATGGTGCTAATTCCCTCAATATGGCAAGCACTATAACAAACACGCATACACGCACTTCTGAATAAACAGTAAAGGGCTTTGGTTCAGTTTAACCGGATGTTCAAGATAGTATCAGACCTTATCATCTTTTAACTTATTTAGCCTTTTTCTTGAGTGTTCTTGCACATAATTGCCTTTTAACCTATGGAAACTTTTAAAACAATAGAGATTAACCAGACAAAATCCACCTGTTCTTCACAGTTTATTGCAGATGTCTCCTCTGTTTCATATTTTCAAATTAAAAATATATGGGGCTTATGTGTTTCTTACACAGAAAAAGAACTGCCATAGCCAATGTTGACATTTTTAATTGTTATGAAAAATAAAATGAAGATAAATCATTATTTTGAGTACTGTGCTTAAAATAATTAATCCTGTCTTACAGCAATACTTAATAGGGATATTGGAAACTGCAGAAAACAATATCAGAAATACTCCTGTAGATTCTAAAGGCCCAGTTTCCAATCTTACTGACACTGAGTAGTACTTAATTGCAAAAGGCCCCCTACTGCAGAATTAGTTCCAAATTAAACAGCCCCTTTCTTCAGCTACCTTAGCTCAAGAATTAACTTTATCATAGCTATTATTTTTTGTCAATGGAAAGGTATGAAGGTAGCCAAAGAAATCCAGGGCACATTACATAACTGGGAAAGACACTGAGGGCATGTCTGCGCTGGAAAGTTATTTCAAAATAACTAAATTTGACTTCAAAATAGCGTGTCCCCACTATGGAGAAGCCTCGACATTAATCCGAGACAGGATGTGCTACCTCAACTTAGAGCCTCAGGAAGCACTGGGAAATAACTAGTTCAAATTACGCTGGGGAGTAGTTATTTCGAAATTGGGGCACAGGAGCATCCACAATAATGCTATTTTGAAATAACTATTTCAAAATTAACATTATTCCTTGAGGAAAGCAGGAGTATCGATTTCGAAATAAGCGGCCCATTATTTCAAAATAATGGGCTTGATACTGTGGACGCTCTGCTTATAAATTTGACCTAAGGAGGGTTATTTTGAAATAATGCCCTGGAGTAGACCAGGGCTAAGAGATTGCATTTTCTCAAGACAATGTCTAGTAAAATTAATATTGCAGCATGAAAAAGATATTTCAAGAATACAATTATGAGCAGTGTGTAAACATGACCAATTATAGTATTCATTTACTTATTAATCTATACCTGTAAGTTAATTTTATAGCCTGAAAAGCATTACTAATGAATAAGCACTGACAATAAATCATCATGATAAAAAATTTTATTTTAAAAAGTTACCATTATTAGTAATGATAATTTGGTAATCGCTAAACAAATACCAAATACACAAACTCTACCACAGAAAGCAATTTATAGCTAATGATGAGATTCTGTGCTGTTTCTCTAGCAGGTTTAGCAGGGCTGCTCCAGGTACTGGTGAAGTGACTATCTCTACACAGCCATCAAGAGTTTTGATTGAAGCATATATAGCTATACCTGAGCTAGCTTTGGTCTAGCTACAGGCTGAACCTTAGAAATCCGGGATTCTTTGGTCTGGCAACATCCGTGGTCCAGTAGGACCATGGATGTTGCTGGATCAGAGAGCACCGGTGCCGGGGAGTGTGAACTCCATCCTTGGGAGCCCTGGTCAGGCAGGGGAGAAGTGGGGCCATGCGGTTGGGGAGCTCCATCACCAGGGAGCTCTGGCTAGGCAGGGCAGTAGTGGCACCAGTGAGCCCTTGTCCCCAGGGGGAGAAACAGGACCGCGGAGGCTGGGGAGTTCATGCCACGTGGAGCAGCAACGGGATTGGTGAGTGGCAAAAGCAGGACAGCCAACAAGCCCTAGGAACTCCCATCCCAGGAGGGGATCCCTGGTTGGGTGGGGGAGAAGCAGTCATGGCAGCTGGGAAGCTTCATCCAGGGGAGCTCCAGCAAGCTGGAGCCCAGTGGCAGTAGAGCCAGAGTGGAGCCAACTGCAGGGAGGGGGCGTGTACTGGGAGGTGAGTGGCAGGGGACCTCAGCAAATCCGGCAAATTCCCTCATTCGGGACGGGTCAGCTCCAAAGGGTGCCAGACAAGGGAGGTCCAACCTATAACAAATGGCAGCATGGACAGTAGCCTGGGCTATCTGCCTGAGTATGTACCAGAATTAAGGATAAGTAACAGTTAATTTACTAGTCAAGTAGTCGATGGAATTTCCACATTCCTCCTTTGAAATGTACAAGAGCCCCTGAAGGAGGAATGCAGAACTCTGTGTGCAGCCCAGGCCAGCGGAAAGTCTCGCTGACTCTGGGGTGAATTCGGCGTTTCAGCTTTGAAATGTACAAGTCTCCAGCATGGGCTCCCGCGCATTTCAAAGCAGTAACACAGCATGGAGCCCGGGGTCTGAGCAGGACACAGAGTCCTCTGCTGACCCTGGGCTCCATGCTGCACTGCCAATTTGAAATGCCACGCGGAGCCAGGGTCAGCTGGGGTATGTCTACACTAGCCCCCTAGTTCAAACTAGGGAGGCTAATGTAGGCATTCAAAGGCGCAAATGAAGCCCGGGATTTAAATATCCCGGGCTTTATTTGCATCTTCCCGTCCGGGCATCATTTTTAAATCCCCTTAGTCCGAACTAATTGCCCGTGGCTACATGCGGCAGTCAAACGTTAACTCGAACTAAATCCTTAGTTCGAGTTAACTGTTACACCTCATTCCACAAGAGCATATGTTAATTCAGTACATCTAAGATACAGACTTCATCAGTAGAGCTCCTAACAACTGCCTTTTGCATCTCTCAATCAAATGTATGACAATAATTTGAGTACCTGAATTCTAGACAAATTCAAGATCTCCTTAACTTCTACTGAAAAAGTAAATAGCAGGCTAGCATTGGACTTAAAATATTGACTTGTAGGCTGCTGCCACTTCAGTAGCAACTGAGATCTTACAGTGGCTGATGCTTTATTATTATCACCCATTCATTATATAGAGATGATCAACCAACGACACGCACAGTGTGAAAGGCCCCATAAATCCATAGAGATAAGCAATAAAGGTCTTGCAGCAGATCCTGGTCACGTCGACTGCACATAAAACATATCTGATTATTCTTATCTAGTCCTCCTTTTAAACTATGTTAAATTCTGCAGAGCAACTTACAAAGATAAAAATTTGATAAAATCCCTACAGGTCCCTCATTGGTCCCTCTGACCAGGAACAATACACTGTAACTATACTAAACACAGTACTAAACAGGCCCAGTTTTCAAACTTCTATGCATAAAGGCCTGACATTTAGCCAGGAGAATTACTCTTCAACTTGAGTAGAGGGCTTCACAATATGGACATATATTAAGATGCCCTGATTCTTCATTTGTTGCTTCAAATCATTAATACTTGTTTGTTTATTTATTTATTTATGTATTTATATAATCAGATCACATAGGAGCCAGGAACTAAGCACTGTACAACCACAGAACAAAAGATCATATGCTGCCCCAATGAATTTACACTCTAAGTAGAAGATAAAAGACAACAGATGGGTACAGACAGATTGACAGGCGAGTACAAGGAAACAATCAGACAATAATAAAAATGTAAGCATCTAAACAGCAATGTACAGGTGGGAAATTGAGCTAAAAAGTACTATACTTAACTGAACTATGCTATTTAAGGTACAACTGTAATCCTAACTGAAGTAACATTGAGATGAAAGACACAAAGGAAATTCACCATAATTTAATTTCAACTTATATTGTTGGTTCTGAAATATTTATCTCCTACCTAGACTTTGGTTACAAGACTAAACCCACCAGTATTTGGACAAGAAAATGTACACACAGTTGCATTAAGAAGCCATGTTAGCTCCAGCAATGTTTATTGGGGTAATTTTGCATTCAAGCTACACATGGTGTACCTTAAATAAAGGTGTTAAAATACCAAATAAAATGTCAAAGTCTGTCACGTCTGGAGCTTTTATAAATTGTTTAGACTGGGGATAATTTGGGTTTGTACATCATTCTTTTCAGATCATGTAGAAAAGAGAAAAATAAGGTGAGAGAAGAAGAACAATGAAGCATAGTCTGTTTGAAGTTGTTTCATGGAAAGGCATACTCTGGATCGTTACCTTCCTAATCAACAATTTACCTATTCCTCCATAACTTGCAAATCCACTAGTTACCTTTCCTCTCACTGGGTGGTATTCTGAGGTTACACATACTACTCAGTAATCATATTAAAAATCACTTCAAAGGGGAATTCCACAACTTGCCAGATATGCACATACTATGAGTAATTTTAACTTGGACTGTAGCTCTCTAATTGCCTGTGTTCTTAAAAAAAAAAGAAGTACTGCAGTATACTGACAGCAAAGCTTTCCCTTGTGGACAGAAGGCTTTGAGTAATAAAATCCGCCAACTACCTAGCAGAGTATTTAGATTACCACACCTTAGTGACCGTCTTTCCCACTCTCCCCTCTTCCACCCTCACCACAACTCCAGAAAAATAACATCTCTCTTTCAGCTTCTTCCCTCATTTTCCCACACACCATGCAACCCAGACCTCACCTTCAGCTCTCCAGAGGCTACTTTGGAAGCCAGTTCGATGACACAGCCAACAGCCATGCGTGCAGCGCCGGACGAATGCAGCTCATTCCAAATGGTGTCACTGTCCACCTGAGCAAACAGTCAGCAGAGAAAGGGGGAGGGGGAGAAAGCGAGAGAGAAAGGGAGAGAGGGAGAGACGGAGAGAGTATAAGAGAAAACAAATCAGTGAGGGAGGGCTGGCAGGGTGACAGCCAATGTACAATAACATTAGTCTTCCGCCTTGGCCAGCTGAAAAGGCCTTCTGGACATGGCTTTGCTTATACTTTTTCTCTACACTGACTTCTCCAATGGAAACACATTCCTGTCATGCCTCACTGCCATTCCCTGTTTAGATTTCTCATTACAAACAGCATTACATAGGCCGGATATGGCCTAGTTACAGGCCCGTTAGACCCCAGACCCCAGTATTAGATACAGTATAAGTTGAGGTCCCTTATTTATACATGAAAATTAGTTTTGGAAGTGTTGGGACAAAGAATTTAAAATAAATTTGTGACTAGTGGCATTAGGAAAGCAAAACTTGTGCTATTAAGAAATCAGTAGCCCATATTCTATGCAAGATGACAGCTACAGTTCATATTCCTTAAATAAATGGAAGGAAAAATTTAGATTTACTGAGAACACTCAATGAAGCCATTTAAAAATTTGAAAAACTAAAATAATAAATCAGATAAAGAGAAGAATCCTCAGGATAATTCCACAGTTTTACAATCCCAATCCTATTTTCTATATGGTACTTTGGTAGGATCTGACTAGTGGAAAATAGAAATATAATAAAATAGTTTGCTAGATTTCTGAATGCAAACTATATATCTTATTTGATTCATGCCTTAGACAGGAGCAAAATGAAGAGATACAATGTGATAAATTAATCTCTGGTGCAATTCCACTGAATATGATGCAGTTACATCAGGGATGAATTTGTTCCAGTATTATTTTTGCTACTAGCATTTAATTAAAGATAAACAGGATTATTGACTCTACAAATCATTTTCTACCATAAGTATTAAATGGGAACCTGACAGGTATTAAAAAAACTAGGAAATACAGCAGAGATGAGATAGCATAGAACTTCAGTAAATATGCTTTAAAATTTATACTTATGAAATATTCTGTTTCAATAATCTATTAAGTGCACTTGCAAAAGTAATGAATGTAAAGGAGAATCACTACTAATGCATCAAAAATGCTGAAGGGCTGGATTTACATTGTAGGATTTCATACCAACCAGGCACACAATTATAAAATACTTGAATCTGGCAAATATGCAGCCTTCTTTAGAAAGTACCTTTAAATGGGAAAAATATCACATAAGACGATTATGAAAAGAAAAAAAAGCTTTAGAAATACAGATTCTAGATGGCAGATTCTATTTTTATCATTTCCAAGTGCACTGAGACATGCTTTTAATTTGAATGAGCAGCTTCTGTTCTTAATTTCTAAAAGACAAATCAGGTAATTGAAAGTAGATGCAACTGTTACTTGACTCTGGAATTCCTCAGGAATTCTCTGGTTAGTCAATGAAAATAGAAAGAAGTTTGTTCTTGTATACACCTGTCAAATGTCTTCATCACTGATGTTAAATTACAATTAAATTTCAAACTATCACAATTATCTAATTTTCCAGTGTATTGGGCCTGATCCCCCTTTCTCTTTCACCAGTTTACATTGGTGAACACACTGACTTCAACTGGGTTAGTCCACAGTCTCATCAATCTGTGAGGAAAATTACAGCCTTTGAAAGTAAAAACTGGCATATCCTAATAAGGCTTAGAATAATAATGATATATTGTATTTTCATCAAAGTATGTCAAAGAGCTGTAGCAACATGAATCAAGTCTTAACATGAATTAAGTAAGGCTAGGTCTTCACTGGGGGTAAGTTTGAATTAAGATACGCAACTCCAGCTACGTTAATTACATAGTTTAAGGCAAAGTATCTTAAATTGTGTTTTGGCGCTGTCCACACAGCAAGAAATCAATGGGAGTACATGCTCCCATCGACTTCCCTTATTTCTCATGAGGAGCAAGACTACCAGTGTCGATGGGAATGCTCTGTCAATTTGAACTAGCATGTCTTCACTATACCTGCTCATTTCAATCACAGAAGATTGGCTGCACCAGGTTTGATCTTCTCTGCAGTGTATACAAACCCCAAATAATGATTTATTATGCTTCTCTTACAGATGGGTAAAATTAAGTTTTAAGGAATTAAGTAGCTTTTCCAGGGCTACACAGTAAGTCAATGGGTAACTCATGGAATAAAGCCAACAAACACTAAAAGCCCAAACACTTTATTCATTAGACTATACTCCTGTGGCCTTTGACGCTAATGGTTCACATGAAGCAGCTGCCATCCAAATTTATTTTAAATCAAAAAAGGAAAAAATAGAAGATATTTGTTAAACTACTTTAACCAAAACACATTACAGTATGAAAAACACAGTACTGTACTAATAGAAGGGTTAAAAGGAACCACTTTCCTACCATGTGCATGGCTAGCAAATGAAGGCTAAAACCCAAAGCAATGGTTGAGGAAAATGATTCAGCTGCAGTTCAATGTGCCAAGGTACAAACAATCAGGGAGTCTGCCGCCTTGGAGGGGCTATGATTCATTTCCAGAGTTGCTTGTTGAGTCAAAAACTGTAACCACAGTTAGTGAATGCATCCGCCCTTCAAAATGAACATGTGAAGGGGTTTAGGCTAGCAGCAGAACGCTGTTCCTGTTGTCCAGACTATTGATTGTGTTAACTATTTTCTGTGTTCTACCATGGGAGAGGAAAATGAATTGGAACAACAAGGGCTGAATATATATCACTGGATGTTTCCCTATGAGTTCTTGAACAATTTGAACCTAATTTTAAAGGGACTTGAGATAACAGTGGGCAATTAAAAAACAAAACAGCATGTCTCAAGGTTTTTAAAAATATGACCAACAGAGAGCATATGGAAAATTCAACACGTTCAGACGTGAGTTTGGGATGGCAAATATCATGAATTTTGATCTCCCAAAGCAGCAAGCGAACACTTCAAGCTACAGAACTGTACGTGCTGCAAAAAGGGTACAAGAAAACTAATTCATACATGTAAAAGGAATGATCAACATGGGAAAAAAAGCATTACATGTTACACCTTAAAATTAAATTCTGGAGTTCATACTCCTGCAAATCTCTACTGAACTCTGTGATGGGCTATACCAACCCAGCACTGGCCTGAGAGGGGTTAACCAGGCTTGCTGGGCTGAGAAGGCCCCTCCCCCACAGCACTGCAGGGCATGCTCCAACTGCAGACGCAGTATAAAGGCCAGAGAAGTGGCTCAGTTGGGGTTGACCACAGGAGGGGAAGGAGCTCCTGCCAGAACATAGGAGCAGCTGCACACTCTGGCCCAGCCACAGCAGCCACCACCGCATCAGCTGCCGTCACAGCTGCTGCCGTAACAGTCACCACCGCTGCATCAGCAGCAGACACCATCGCAGACATAGCAGCATCAGCTACCCCGGCCAGTGGACTGGGGTAAGAAGCAGCACAGGGTGGGGAGCATGAGGCCTTCCAGCAGATTCAGCATGTTTCGAGTGGATTCTCCCCCGAGCTAGTGGAGGGAACCACCAACCACTGACAGGGCCCTGGGCTGGGGCCCAGTGGAAAGGGAGGGCCCGAGCCCCCCATCTCCCACCTCTCTTGACCCCCAGAGGGGAGAGTCAATCTAACGCAGTGTAAACTCGGCTACTGGGCCTCACTTCTCCACCGATCGGGGTGAGATAGACTCAGCCAGTGGGCCCTGCAGACAGGGGCTCTATAGACTTAGCTACTGGGCTTTATTGCCCCGCAGACTGGGGTGTGATAGTCTAGGCCACTGAGCCATAACACCCAGCCCACAGAGGCAATAGTCAAGATTAGATTCCGAGGTAAGGCGCCTGGCCTCCCAGGGGGGATGGGTTACCCATCCCATGACAAACTCTTCCTTGAGAAATAACTAAAGAAGATCTTGGCCCATAAAATTTAACTCCTAATGTAAGGAATGGAATGGATCTAGGGAAGGGCTCTAATTCATCCCTCAGCCAGTGCAAAATTATTTCTGTATTTTTACTAGTGTATTGTCTTACATAGTTTTAAATAACTCATTTTCTTGGGTTCGAGACATTTTCTTAGATGCAGTTTACTCAATAGTTTATTCAGCTGTATGATTTTGAACTACTACAAAGTAAAGAGGCAAACATGTTAAAGTAATGTCTGTTAGCCTTATAATGGCTATATCTATACTACAGTGAGGGTCAAGGCTCTGAGATCAATCCACTGGCAGTTGATTTAGTGGGTCTCATGAAGATCTGCCAAATCCACTGCTGATTGCTCTGTAGTCGACCCCTGTAAAGAGGCAAACATGTTAAAGTAATGTCTGTTAGCCTTATAATGGCTATATCTATACTACAGTGAGAATCAAGGCTCTGAGATCAATCAACTGGCAGATCAACTCATAAAGATCTGCCAAATCCACTGCTGATTGCTCTGTAGTCGACCCCTGTACTTTACGCCCAATGAGAAAAGTTAGATAAGTCATCTGGAGAATTTCTTGATTGTATTTGAGTTTCTCTCTCTCTCTCTCTCTCTCTCTCTCACACACACACACACACACACACACACACACACACACACACACACACACAAGCTATATTATTCACACTGCATACTATAGGTCAACTTTCTGCAGTAGTATAGATATAGGCTAGACTTCACTTTTTAACTGCAATACACTAGGACGTAAAAGAAAGCAGATGGTGGTAACTTCTTGATTATTCACCATGGGCCAAATTCAGATGTGTCATAAATGGGCAAGACCCAGCACAACCCAGTGTCAGAATGTAAATTTATGTGTGTTGCTACTGTAAGAAATTGGAGAGAAAAGAGAAAGTTGTAGTAGAAAAAGCAGCCAGAATGTAAGAAAGTGGGAAATTTCTTTTTCTTTTATGCACTTCTTGTTTATTTTTCCTGTTCCATTATGTAGTTCATAATCTGAAAGAGGTATTTGAGGAAAACCAATTCTGACTAAAGTGAAGGAAAATATTTACAAATATT